CTGCCTTCTAAAAGAAGTTATTGAAGGAAAGATAGATGGGCGGATAGAAGTGACCAGAAGACGAAGAAGAAGACGTAAGAAGATGCTGGATGACCTTGGGGACAGAAGAGGATATTTACATTTGAAGGAGAAAGCCCTAGATCACATCAAGTGGAGGAACTGTTTTGGAAGAGACTGTGGACCTGTCGTCTTGACAGATTACGGATGAATGAATGAATACTTGGAGGGCAAAATCCTAATGGTTTCAGGGTTGATTACAGCGTTCCTGACCCCATATATTTCCACATTCAATCAAGTAAATTATTCCTTATTGGTTAATGCCACTGTGTAAATCCGCCCTTGTTTGATGACAGGCGCATGCGCGATACAGTCCCGTGCCCTGAGGTTACACTTCAGCATGAATCCGTGCCGAAGCTGATGTTTGTAAACTAAACTTCCTATACAACAGTAATCATTTAATCATCTCTTGCAGAATGAAACGTAACTATGAAGTGTGTATGTAACAATATGAGGTGACAGAATCTGCTTATTGATGCTCGTGTTGAATTACAGGGTGAATGGCGTGTCCTGATTTCTCAACTTGAGCATGGAACCCGGTGTGTTTGTCAGCGGTGTAGTGTACTGTACGGGTGGTGCCATCTGGTTCCAGCAGCTTGTAGTAACCTTCGACTTTGTGGCCGTCACGTTTCTCAGCCTGCTCCTTGATGTCATGAGTGTGTGTGTCCTTCACACCGTACTTGAACTCGTATTTTGGATGAGCCTAAAGAATAGCATAAAAACATAAAAGAGTTCAAATATTTTCCATTAGATTTTGATGCATGATTTGGGGGAGAAGGGAACACATATAGGTTATTGGCGGGTAGGCCAGAAGGAAAAAAGACCACTAGGACGACCAAGACAGTTCGGGAATGAAACTCCCAGGTTCCATAAATATCTGAGAAGTTCTTGAGTAACTGTACAACTGGCGGCTTCTCAAGATGTGCTCAGCTCTGATGTCAGTTTAATTCTAACAGCTGCATTGAAATCCCGACAGAAATCGCGTTTCGACCATGGTAAAATGTAAAATTATGCGATCCTATATGAGGATCACTTAAGCTTACGTTCGTAAAATTATTTCTAATCTTGACACAGATACGACAACTAGGATGTGAATGTGAACAGAGATTACTCCTGGATTGTAACACCGCATAGTTCAGAGACAGACCAATTGGTTCGGGAGATCACAACGTCTCCATATTAAGGGTCAAAGAGTAACCCAAGAAAGAAACCAGCACAAGCACCTAGCGGCCTGCTTGTGCTCTTAGACCCTGCCGATAGAGGCAACATGTTCCTTGGACACGTTCGGATATCTCCAAAATATCCCTCGTTACAACCAAAAAGTCTGTATTCTTCATAGTCGCTGCTATGAGAATCTCAAATCTAACAAGGATTTTTCTGCCAATAGTTCACACTATATCCTGTAGCGAGCTGATCACAGCGGCCACGCGGTCTAAGGCATGGATTAGGATTGTGGGTTCGAACCCCACTACAAGCATGGATGTCTATGTCCGTTTATTCTGTGTTTTTGCTGTCCTGTAAGTGTGTAGGTAGCGGCCTATCGACGAGCTGATCCCCCGTCCAAAGGGTCCTACACACTATGTGAAAGACCAAGAAACTGAAAAGCGGCCATGTGACAACAAAGGACTCTAGAGCCATAGATAGATAGATAGATAGATAGATAGATAGATAGATTTTTTGATAGATTTTTTATTTAACACTGTAAATATAACAATGACAATAATTCTTACAACACAACATGTAAATGAAGGTAATTAAATTGTGTACTAAATTTTACGTGCCGTTGCAGAACAATGAAATTTATCTTGTTACATACCCGAAAATTTTGAAAAATATTTAAGAAGGCTATTATAACTGAGCTAATCTGCTAGAAATGTCGAAATGCGTCCCCTCATGGTGCACAGGCCTATGTTATTAAAATGGCCTCTTTACTAGTTAGCAACGAAACTCCTTTGTTGCAGGTACAAAAGCCATTGCAGCAAAGCTAACAAGCAGCAGCACATATATGGTCTATATTTCGTGAGTAATCATGTAAATGAAAGTGTTTCGCTCTACAAAATACTCGTATGTGCAGTGAGATCATCTCTGAGCCTACTGTGAACCGATGACCCGTCAGGAGGAGAAGCCTGACGCATCCCTCGACCCGCAGATTTCTTACATGCAAATATACATCCTGACATTGAGCTGGGGTGTGAGTCCTTGTTGTTCTTACGTAACTACTTTTCCCACAAGTATTGTATGCGAGCAATTATTATTCCAATGCTTAAGTTACACGTGGCATTTTGCCACAGGAAATCACTTCATCACACGAGAAGATACAGTGAAATTGCAACAAGGGGCTATGAATCATAAACAAAACGCAGAAATTCACTTCACAATAGCCGTTTGACGACGCAGTGGGACGAAACTGAAGATAATTTGAATGTGCATTGGCATTTGATTTTGAGGTTCCGTTAAAAGTCCCAATCTCCGCTAGATAATTTGGTGGAAGACGGCCTTCCTCTTCCGCTTGAGCGGCTCTGCGATTTACCGGAAAATTTCAAATGATGTCATTAGCAAAAAAAAAAAAAGAAAATTTGTCCCTATGGTTCACTGACCTGTAGGGAGTGGATGTATAGCTCCACCGCTAGGCGGAGGTATGTGGTCAGCTTCACGACCGGACCGGTTTATTCCTGGGGAAAATATTCCCCCACACGCATTGGATTAGAGATTAGGTGGTCTTCAGAGCCAGTCTAGACATTATTGAGGAAAGAAAAGCCACTTGCCCCTACTGGAAATTGAACCCCCCGCCGACCAGCTTCTAACCAGTCAATATATCAACTGAATTATCCCCGTTGTGTTTGTGTGAAGTGTCACTCACACGATGAATCTTCGTTTGAATAAATGAAGTCTGATATTTAATTAAGCAGCATACCGTGAGAAGAATAGGAGCATCACGGTATGGCTTCATTAGCTTGCGTATCGGAGGTGAGTGATGGTATCAAATGCACTGATAAGCGTCTCATTGAAGGCTGTGTGTGGACTCGCTGGTAAAAGGAAACCTCTCTGCTCCTCCCGGTTATAGAACTCCTGTCATCCAGTCACTTAAATGACTGTGGTATCCTAACTGCCGATCTTTATATAGGGCAAAGTTTATGTTTAACTTACAGGTGTCATATTAGAGCAACTTTATGTTTTTGAGATTATAGTATTCTGCGTTCTGTAGTCTGCGTTCTGTAGTTTTCATCGATTTTTTCAGAGAAAAATTCCGCTTTCATCTTCACGCATAAACTTAGATGGGATCTCCAGATATTTCCGAAAAGTTGTAACCACACACCAAACTACACGACGTCATAACCCAGAATAACACAGCCTATATTTCACAGCCGTCAAAGCCTTAAATTTAAATTTATTCTGGCTGTCAATAGAGACCTCGTCAGAATTCATTGAACAGTTGGATACGTTAATCATTCTGTCGGCTCTCATTATTCGGTTAAAAAAATTAAAAGATACTTTACGAACCAGTGTCACTTCTGTCCGCTAGAGGCACTTACATCGTGATGAACTTCTACGTCATGCGCCTCGGGCTCGTGGCTGTACTGCACCTGAGGCACATGTTGAAGCAGCTGCTCGATATGCTCAGGTATTCCGTGCTGTACATCTTCTTGCACCTGGATAGGGTAGGCCTGGGAGCACACTGCCAGCAACAGCACTGCAGCAACAACCTGCCATAGTCGCCAGCTTGGTAAAGAATTGCCCCTTCCTCTATCGAAACGGAACTTACTTTATTGTTTCATAACAGCCGCCACTGTACTCTAGCCGGGGCCTGGTCAGTTCAGAACAATTCACATTCATTTCTCTCAGACACTCCAGCCCATCTATGCCTGTGTCCATAGGTATGTCTCTCTTCCCTTCAGGTTTACCGATTAAAATTGTATTCAATTTATATTTCCCTCGTGCGAGCTAAATATTTCTTTCCTGTCATTCTTCTTTTATTACCAAAATAATATTTGATTAGAGATATAATTTACGAACCTCCTCGTTATTCAGTTCCCTCTCCAAAATTCTTGTTTCAGCATCACTTCTACTTCTTTTGCTTTTTATTTTCTTGGGGTTGGGCTGAGGCTGTGTCCACCTGGTACGTTGGCCACTAATTGGCATATTGTACCAGCCCCGGAGTCTGAAGGAGTCGGTGAAATAATTGGTAGGGAAAATTGAATTACTCGGATAAAACATTCCCCTGTACCGCTTTGTTCACCACAAATCCCACATGAGTTGACCTGAGCTCGAAACCGTGTCACCGCTGTGGAAAACAGACGACTAACCGTCTAAGCTATGGCACGGCCCCTATTGTCTCTTCTAAGTCTAGGACTGATCCTAGCCTCCGAGGTTAAATATGGAGACCAACGGTACGTAGGAAGTTAACTTTGATCAGAACCTGACGGCACAGAACAGGTGTAGCGTCACTCAGACAGTATAATGTTCAGTCCTGTTCAACATCTGTAGCTGTAACTTTCATACACATGCTTACCTTGGTCATTGTTATCCGCTTGGGAAACTTTCCCTGTTACAACTGCTCAACATAAAATGTCACTCTCATTTATATATCAGTGGACTTCCTTGCTCTGTCACACATGAAGTGTGTGCCTCTCTTTTACTTTCCGTTTGTTTTGTTTCCGTATTTTCCCTTCATCCCTTAGTTCATTTTCGTTTTTTCTGTCTTTAAAATATTGCCTTTCGGGCAGAATCATGTGAGTACAATCTAAATTGATCTTTGTAAGAAAAACATGCCACACTAGTAAGGGGAACGATTGGTAGGAAAAGTTGCATAGGATATGTAAACGTAACAGCGTTATGTTCAAGTTTATTCCTATGAGACATGTCATACTTTCTCTTTTTGTAAGAATTCTGTTATGAATATCATTTGCTTAACACATACACATTCTTTATGTGAGTAAAATGCATAAAATTAATGCATATTGGGATAGTCATGTTTCTTCTATCTGTCCGCATATATTTATTCACAAAATTAATTTGGCGATCTCTTAGGAAAACTTAGGCCGCCTCTGTGGTCTAGTGGTCAGAGTTTCTGGCTACAGATCCAGATGTCCGGTTTCGATTCCCAGGCCCTACCAGATTTTCTGAGAAAAAGTGTGTCTGGAACGGGGTCATCCTCGTGATGATAATTGAGAAGCTATTTCAAGAAAATAGCGGCTCCGGTCTAGAAAATCGCAATTAACAGCCATGAGGATCCGTAGCGCTGACCACCCGACACCTTCTATCCGCTAAAGTTGGCACTAACTTCGCCTACAACTGGCGGTCGCTCGGTCAGTATAGTTTGCTTGCTGACTACAGGCAACGGAGTTTGTTTGTTTAGAAAAACCTGATTTTATTTATCCAGTACAACCGTTATCTTAACGTATTTCAAAATGGGTTTATCATTTGATTAAAAAGGGATAGTCAATCAAAATAATAGAGATTTTAGTGATATCGATGAATATTATGATTTGATGCAGAAGAGCTTTCCATGTTATTCAGCATGTCCAGAATTATTTAACCCTTTGGATTCTTATGTTCATCTAAACAATATATAATGATTCAGTTCGTACCTCACAGGAAACATATTACGTCTCCGCTATAAAGCCAAACCGGTTAATTTTGTTCAAGGAAACAGTCGCTGCTTATTGTGAGAACCATGAAGAGAGGTGAGCGGAGGTTCCGGGTCTGTCTAGCCATGTTCTATCTTCTATCTTTGACCTATCCTATGAAATATCAGTATATGTATTGTGAGAAAAATATCCGTGCAATATTGACACGAAACAATGAAATGTGTTTGACCTCTGAAGCCTGAAGTGTATCTAACGCACATTAGAAAAAGCAGTTCCTACTGCACAGGAAACACAGCATCTTCATTACAGAAAGAACTTGGTTTAATTCTGTATAGGGAAATGATCGCTGTTTATTGTAAGAATCATACCAAACGCATAAATGTACTCTGTGGGTGAAATGTACGTTACTTTAATGTTAAAGCAAGTGGTACGCTTATTTACCACCGACGTTTAAAGGGTTAATTAATGTACAGTATTAACACACAACGGCGTTCACAGCTAATCCAAAACACTGCATTCTGAAGACCACCTGTGTTAGTTCAAATACATAGACATCCGAACGATTTTTTTCTAATTATTTTTTATACATTTTGGGGGATTGTGGCATGAATTCTTTATTTTTTTTTAAGTAGCTATTATGTTGTACTCAGAATATTACCGTCATTTTGTTTGAAAGAATTAAAACAATCCGTCTGTCATATGTTGTAACCAATATCAACGGTCGCAGAGAAAAGGGGTATTAAATTTTGTTCTTAAAGTAAGCCATTTTTACCAAATGAATAACTGCGAAAAACGTAAGAAACAATATTAAAAGCAAAGTTTTTACATAGGTCACTGGTTTTCTGTTTCAGAGCAGATAAACACTACAAAATCCTCTGTCTTTTCTCAAAAATGAATTAATTAAATCCGTTTAGATAGAGTTGAAATTCAGCAATTATGTTGTAAAAGACTCTAATTATTAAAATATTTCTGAATACCTAAATTATTTTAAGGTCCTCCTTACCTTATAAACATTTCCAAACAGCCTGTAGCCATGTAAGACAAATTAGATAGTTGCCTGAGACAGAATAGACAAGCATAAAGATATATGCAAGCTGTTCTGCAAATTGCTTGCGGAAATAAACTGATGATTCACGCGCTATAAGTAGTAACATCTTCATACTTTAACCCCCACAGTTGTTACTCCACTGATTTTAATTTCTTGTATTTTCACTTAATTCGATAATAGTTTGCTTCTTAAAAGTCGTGTTATTGTCACTTCGCTGTTTACGGGTGCTGAACACAGGCTGCGCCTATGGTGCATTAACTGAAACCACTCGAAGATGAAATGTTAAGTATTTATTTGAACCCACTCAAGTTAAATGTGGAAGTGATGAAGGAACTGTGTGTTATTTTTAATGCTACTTAAGTCGGACCAAGTCCCTTGTACTGAGGTCACTTCTGGCCTATTGTACTAGTCCCAGATGATAGGTGAGGGTGATTGTGGAGCAACTGGTGAAATGAAGATTGGCAGGGGAAACCGAAGTACTTGGAGGAAACCTACCCCAGCGCCACTATTATCATACCAGGGATCGAACACGGGCCTCCATGGTAGGAAGCCAGCGACTAACCGCTTGAACTATGGCGCTGCCTAGGAACTGTTACCGAAAATTCTTCCTTTTATAATATATACAAGTGCTTTCTCAGTCCAGACTTTACAAAGTAGATATGCCTATCTTATTTATCCAATGCTATGACAACTTAGTCACTTGGACTCTCGGAAGCTGTGTCTGACTGCACCTTGTTCTATGCTGCAAACATGATCATTCTTATGATTCTCTATAACTTCTGCATGCCGCCTTCATGATTTTGTTATACATGGTGTTTCAAAAAGAGCTTTACAATTTTGAAAGCTTATATAAATTTATACAGAGGACATTCACAACGTTTTGAACTGTCATGATGTAGCAAAACACACAGAGTTTCATGCACATGGTACTGTAGTACCCAATACCGCCATCGCGAGCGCTCCCGCATTTGAAATCAAGATGGCTACTTTCACAGGTGCAGAGCGTGCTCGTTGTGTGTTTTGGTTCGAAGAAACGAAGTCTGTTACACAAGTTCGAAGGAAATTTCGCACTCAGTATCACAAGGAACCTCCCAGTAGGCCTACAGTTTACTCCTGGCACAAGAATTTTGTTCAGACCGGATGTTCTGTGCGCCTTGCCAAGCCACCCGGTCGGACACGTGTTTCTGACGCTACAGTGGAACAGATTAGGGAGAACTTCGTTCGAAGTTCACGAAAGTCAAGGCGACGTGCGTCTCGGGAAACTGGTATTCCAAATGTTACTGTGTGGCGAGTGTTACGAAAACGTTTACACTTAAAAGTGTACGAGCTATCCATCGTTCAACACCTTACGGATGCAGGTAAGGTGGTTCGTAAGGAATTCTATATGCAGATGTTTCATCGGATACAAGACGATGAGAAGTTTCTGGACTCCGTAATTTTCAGTGATGAGAGCACGTTTCATGTCAGTGGTAAGGTCAGTACCCACAACTGTACGATCTGGGGCAGCGAAAATCCACGTGTCTCCCTGGAACATGTTCATGATAGCCCAAAGATGCATGTGTTTTGCACCCTCAGCAAAGAAAGAGTGTACGGCCCCTTCTCCTTCATGGAGACGACCATTACCGGTAGCGTATTTCTGGACGTGCTCCAAGAGTTTCTCATTCCACAGTTAGACGAAGATGACCAAGAAGGACGCATTCACTTCCAGCAAGACGGCGCACCCCCTCATTACCTTGGAGAAGCGCGCGAGTACCTCAACACCCGTTTCCCAGGTCGGTGGATTGGTAGAGCGGCGCCGATAGCATGGCCACCTCGTTCCCCGGATCTCACTCCCCTGGATTTTTTCTTATGGGGATTCGTTAAAGATCGAGTGTTCGTACCACCTTTGCCTGCAAATGTCGTTGAGCTCCGAACTCGAATTACTGCCTCAGTTGAAGAAGTGACGCCAGAGATGCTACGTAGCGTGTGGCAAGAGACCGACTACAGGTGGGACGTCTGCCGCATTACCAAGGGAAGTGACACTGAACCGTAACTATCCGAGGTAAAACTCGGTGTGTCTTGCTACATTATGGCAGTTCGAAACGTTGTGTATATCCTCTGTATAAATTTATATAAGCTTTCAAATTTGTAAAGGTCTCCTTGAAACACCCTGTATAATATACATAAGGAAGACTGAAAACCGTGTGCAAATCGTAGACCGATGTGCGCCACAGAAAATTTCCAATGTTGGGGAGAACCTTGTTTCGCAGGCGCTGCGGTTTCGAGCGGTAGATATCTGCCGCTAATAGTCAAGCGGGGCAAGCATAAATCATTATTTTATCTTTATTATTTATCCTTATGCAACATCTTTCTGACGATAGGATGGGTTAGCCTCCTATGCATAAGCTTCGTCTTTGTCAAGTGTAAATATCGCAACATAGCATAGGTCTACATCTTTATGGGAAATGCCTTTCGTCCCCGTGAAGTCGTCAGTCCGATAATAGTGATAATTTGGAATGAAGAACTTCTCACGAGGTTTGAGACGTATCTCTGGGAGCAGACTCACATCTATATGTGAGTCTTGCAGCTGTTTAGTGAGCTCATAGCGCAGCCTCTTAATACCATTTTTATTAAATGTTATGATTGAGCAGTCTGTGAAATTTAGCAGTATTTTTTAATTAAGTTAAGTAACGTTTTTGTAATGACCGTTATTTCGTCTTATAACACCGCTTCACTCAGCTATCTCATAATCTGTTGCAGTATATTTGCGATTTTTAACGTGTAGGCCCACCTTCAAATATTCATTATATAGCCTCGGGGCGGATCCCACAGAAAACACAGCTTCCAACAGTTCCTCTATTGTTGCGTGCGTAAGTGAGGCCACGACCACGTAATATTTACTGA